TTTTTAGGTGCATACAGGAAGGAATTATGTACAATTTAATGCTTAGGAGTATTGATGATCAACCTTGATGGCTTTCTTGTCTACAGAAGCAGTATTGTGTGAAGTATTATTCCAGAAACCCTATCTAAAATCTTGTGTTTACAGGTTGTCCAGAAGCTTGTAGATATTGTACACTTTCTACATTTGGAGATCCATGAAGCTTTTGGCAGTGCTGGTATGCATTCGAAATATTTGATGAAATTTCTATTTATGGCCACTATCTGCCCAGCCTCGTTTATCCTTCATCTCTTTATTACTGCCATTGTTGTTATAATGGCTTGGTCGAACCAAAAAAAAAAGAAGAAAAACAGAAAAAGAAAAGAGGTTATAATGACATTCTGTCCACCATTGATCATCTTGAAGCATTTCATAGGATAACAAACTGTTTTTCTTCTGAAAGAAAATTATTGATTAGCGTCTTCTATTTTCCATTTCCATTTGATAACATACTGTTTTTCTTCTGAAAGAAAATTATTGATTAGCATCTCCTATTTTCCATTTCCATTTTGATTTACAATTCTGATTATTCATCTCTCCTACCTCTCTTTCTGGCTTTAAATATAAAGTTTTTAAGCACAAGTTGCTCACGAGTTTAATAAAGTTTTTGATGTCTCCTCATCTCCCCTGCAGATGATGAACTTGGGGAAAGTTCTCGGAGGAACCATAAGAAGTTGGGGCCTTCTGGTATTTCATTACAATATGCGAGTATTATTACACAAATTAACACACTAGTAAGTTTCATTCACTACTCAAGTGTTTCCAGTTTCCTTAACCTCGTTATGATGATTTTCACTGCTCATGTTTTATAACTTATATCATTTGTACAATATATTATACTATTAGTTCACCAAAAGAGTTGGAATTCAAATCAGAATAACGTTCAGAAAATGTTTTCGTAGCTAGGCAGATTTATCGTTCATTACCTTTGTAAGTAGAACACAACCTTAGCTAGTACCCAATGAATTAAAGGCACTAGGAATAAGACAATAAAACTCTCTGGGATGGGCTGGAACCTAAGCACATCGAAACTTGAGAATCTAGCGGATAGAATTCAAGGAAGTAAAAACAAGAAAAAAAATAAAAAATAAAAAATAAAAACATAAAATAGAAGTAATGGACTACAACCTAATAACACTCACTCCCCTTCAAGTTGGTGAATATATATCACAACTTGCTTTTATTTTTGGTCAAACAATACACAACTTGCTTAGGATATTATGAAACACAGACCACTCTGTCAGTTGAAGCATCTGGTAGTCATTCTTCAATGTTTACCAAAGGAGTGCAGAAGCCGAAATCCAGCCTCTCTTCGTTGAAGTGTCTGTGCACATGAATGTGCTTGGTCCTGTCATGCTGCAAGGGTTATGTCCAATATTAATTGTTGCTTTGCTGTCAATTTGTCAAACATAATCTTGTAGGACAATCAAATTTCATTTTAACTACTTAACAAGGATTGTAGCGAAAGGAGCTCACGAATACCAGGTTTCGTAGCTCAAAATTCTGCTCACACTAGACCTGGCCACATCCCTGTTTCTTACCCCAAGTCACCAAGTTTCCAACAACCAACAGGTACCTGAAGCTAATTTTCCTATTAGGTACTGATCTTGCTATTTCTGCATCGGTACGAGCTCCATTCTTTTCTGACAGTCACCAAATATCAACATCTTTCTAGGATTTTGCATCTCTGTTTCTTGCTTCTTTATCAAGTTTTATACTTGACCAGGCGGAGAATCTAGTCTTACACACTAGTTCAGTTTCTTTACGGCCTCTACTGTCAGTCTACTTATAATGCCTGAAGTATTATTTATGAACTTATCCAGAAATTTCATAGAATTACCTTGTAGCCTTGGGACAATGATAAACCTAGACACCTTTTTGTGGTTATAATATATACATACACACGTGCGAGCAAAGTGCTTCTTAAATGGGATTCTGCACTGCAGGATCCCATGATATTCAAACTGCAGGTTTGTTTTTCTTGTCGCCACATTCAACAATGAACCTTAAGCCCTTTTATTTCATGAGAAACAAGTTTCATAAATAATAATCATCATGAAACATGATACAAATATTCGGTCAACAAGAGGTCCAACAACATTTTGATACAAATCTTTAAACCTTGAGCCGTAAACCCTTCTCTACACCTAAAAGTAGTAAAACCATGCCCTAGTTGAAAATAACACTTAAAAGAAATAACAGGACATTCAAATGGCATGGGAACTTCCAAGCCGGCATCTCGCACCTGAAGCTTTCTGATAGGATTTTTAGTACCTGCGCAAAGAGGGTTAAAATCACTGAAAATACTTGCAAGAATACAAGGTAATTGTAGTATAAATGCTCATGCAAGGTCGTCGTTTGACTAATTTGTAATTAAACTAACTCTTAATTAATAATTCAAATAGATTTGATCAAAGATCTAAAATTTATGAATTTGAAAAGATTAAATTAACAATAAAAGAAATCTGAAAGTCGGAAAATAATAACAGCAAAGAGAAAAAACGTTTTTCTTTTTAAAAAATAACAATTTAGAGAAAACTAGGGTTCAGCCATCATCGTCACAATCTTACAAGGTAATTGTAGTATAAATGCTCATGCAAGGTCGTCGTTTGACTAATTTGTAATTAAACTAACTCTTAATTAATAATTAAAATAGATTTGATCAAAGATCTAAAATTTATGAATTTGAAAAGATTAAATTAACAATAAAAGAAATTTGAAAGTCGGGAAATAATAACAGCAAAGAGAAAAAACGTTTTTCTTTTAAAAAAATAACAATTTAGAGAAAACTAGGGTTCAGCCATCATCGTCACAATCCTATGCAATTCTATCAATTACTTATGAATTTCCACATATATGCTTTGAAGGTTAGGTTTTCCTAATGCATATTTTCCTTGTGATGTTCAAGCAAAAACATATATCTAATGCGCAATCCGTCTGTGATGTTCAGATAAAATATAAATGTGCAAGACTCATTAAGCTTTGTGAAAACCCTTTGAAAAACCATGCAACCCTTAAGAACGTGATGTTCGCCTTAAGTGAACTTACAACTACTAACCACAAGAAGTCATCCTCAATTTCACGGTGATGTTCCAACAGAAATTGCATCAAATTACTTGTCTAAATATCCTAATGGTGATCAGTCATTAAAATAGATAGATAGTTTTAATCGCAATGATTAATAATTCAAAGCAAACATGCATCCATTAATAAGCAAATTAATAAAATTACATATTCATGCTAAGGTTCAAGGCTTAACCCTAGCAAAAGAGAATTAGTTACGCATATCCATAACTGAAATCATGGAAAATATTATTAAGAAGAAAAAGAATGAAAATACCTTAAAAGTCGCAAAAACTCCAAAACCCTAGCAATTGCTCTCCACAATGTCAAGTTCAAAAGCCAAAAAGAAGTCCCCAAAAATTGCTGTGAAAAAGAACTTAAATACCTCATAAAACCCAGCTGCCCAATCCCCACAAGGAAACTAGGTTAGAATAAAATACTACTAGGATATAAAGTCCAAATTGAATTAGGAGAATCTGCCAACAATCTGCCCAGCCACGTTTTGGCCTAAAATCTCCTCCAAATCCGGCCCAAGATAGCTTGTTTTAAAGATAAAAACGTTCTGAACACTTCTCCAGAAGGCCACAAACCCATATGAGGTCATCTTGGGCTCCAAAAACGCAATAAAAGCCCAAAACGTCACTATTTTAGCACCGCGCACTGCTCCTTTATTTTACTGCCAGAGAATAACCGCTTGGTAGAAAAATCTGAAATTTTAATACGATCAAGCTAAGTGACTCACGAACGTCCTCCAACTGGAATTACTCCAAAATTCGTCCATTTGATTATGTTTTGCTCCAGAGGAAGTCGAAAGTCCTATATTGGAAATATAATTCAAAATATCAAAATTCTTCATTTTGCATTATTATTCAACGAGAAATCTGGACGTAGCACATGAGCAATGTAGGTATATTAGATTTATTTATTTTGCATTACTTTTTACAAGAGTGCAAGGTCTCATTAGGTTATATCTGGGATCTTAGAAGATTTTCAAAGTACCGGTGAAAATTATTTTTTTATTTTTTCGATCCAGTGTGAAAGGTAGGACAGATCAGGGTATGCTCAATCTCGAATCTTGTAGGTCGTTGGTCTTGTGCTAATATCTGAATGTAACCAGGTGTCTCTGTCACGATCGAGTTCAGTGCCTCAACATATGAGGGATACTTTGTATCACGGGCTGCCATCCAGTGTAAAGTCAGCTTTGCGCTCAAAATTCCAGTTAGTTGAGGTTGAGTTATATGTTTTCTTTATTATATATAATTAGAAAATTTATACCAACTCGAAGTGTCGTTTATCTTTATTTCTGTCTTCTTTGTTGTTCTGCTATTCCAAAAATTATTTCCTTCTAGAAATTTCTCTTGAAGATGTGTAAATGGTGTTTTTGCAGCTCACTATCCCTCAAATCAAAACTGAAATGAAGAAAACATTGGAGTGGCTTGTTCCCATTGCCAGTAACACAACCAAGTAAGGCTTCTAGTCCTTAGATCTATAAATCAGTTTTTTAATTGGGCTTCATTATATCTGGTAACCCTTTCGGAAAATAAACTCGATTCCCTCTGCAGTGGGAAAGTTGGGAATCTTTTTTTCCTTGTACATGGTACTGAAGTACCCTTCCCATGTTGTGGACACTGTTTGGGAATCATGATGATTTCTAAAGTTGGTTACCAGAGGCTATTTACGCTCCTTTTGTATTTCGGCGAGGATTTTGTTTGAAACTTATCTTTTATTTACTTTACTGACGAGTGTTCTAATTTGGTTGATTTAGAGCTCTTCATAGCTTTGGTTGGGTTGGAGAGTGGGCAAATTCAGAGTGAGTTATCAGCTTACACTTCTGCGTGCATTTCTTCCCTTCATGTATCTTTTAAGGTTTTCTAATTGATCTTTTGTAGGTTTGGGGCACTCTGGAAACATGTTGGCCAGACTGGCATTCTGAGGATTGAGACACTACACCATGCAGATAAGTTAGAAACTGAAGCTTGTATCTTTAACCTAGTAGTTTGGCTACAGCATCTGATCAGCCAGTCGGGGGCTAGTGACGGTGGAATGCCGTCAACTCCTGTTAAAACCCTAAACCAGAAGACAAATCTGTTATCTAGACACACACCCAACGGTTCATCTCCCGTTTTGACAGATGAAGATCAAGAAATGCTTCAAGATGCGAGTAAGAGCAACTTGAGGCTCAGGATGAGTAAGAGTCAGAAGTATGCCTCAAGAAACGACATGTTAAGCAAACAACATAGGCTGAGTAAGAGCAGCCGAGACTTCCTATCAAGTAAAACTAGAAAAGATCCATCTCCCATATGGAGTCTGCTATCTAGGCCGATCGACTTTGATAACGATCGGATCAAACTCTTGGATGTCATTGATGGAGTTGACACAACCAAAGGTTCTAATTAGTGATTGCAAATCAACATGTGCTTGAAAAGAAGCCTCCATGTTGCGTAATAGTATCATCTTTTGCCTTTGCCTTGATGGGTGCTCTAAGTTTGCGCCAAGGGAGACGATGCTATGTGAGTTTGAAGCAGATGCCGAGTAACACAAATTACTTTTGTAAATGTGGAATCAAGGGTAACAATTTACCCTTGTAGGAAAATATTAGTACCTTCACTTTATGTACATAATACGTGTAGGAAAATACACGTGCAGACTCCATATATTCCCATTTTGTAATGCTGGGATATTTATATGTTCCATTCATAGTTAGCGAAGTAGAAGACGGGACTTGGAATAAATACACGTGAATATTATTTGCCAAAGTTTTCCTTAAGATATAGTGAAAACTCGGCATTATTTATTTAACAAAAGTTTGGTTGAAATGTGACAGTATGGACCAAATTGATATGAAAATTAAAAGGACCACATTTATTGATTTGAGAGTTTGGAACCAAATTGAATACTTTTTAAACGTTAAAGGACCACTTGTGATAAAAATAATTTCTCTTAGGGTTTTTATCACAAATGGTCCCTAAACTTTTCAAAGATCTTTATTTTTTTATACAAGCAATATTGGGGAAAGGGGGAGTAGATCCTAGGAAAGACCTCATATGCAGGGATATATGCTCTTAACCACTTAAGCTATAAGCTCTTTGCTACACATATTCATAATGTTAATTCTAAGAGTGTAGAAGGTTTGAAAATAATTGGACTAGCCTATAATCTAGTAGTCGTTTAGGATAGACATTAGATTTGTGGATGCGATAACTATTTATATTTGTAATGAGTTTGAAACTTACTCGTAATTAGCATCATTATAGTGGTATAGCTTTACAATATGCTTTACCCTAGTGGTGGGCTAGGTTTGGGTTGGTTCGGTTTTAGGCTCAACCCGAACACCGAACCATAGGCCTCGATTTGGTTATTTTGGAAACCGGAACCAAACCATAATTGATGAAAACCGACTACTTCGGTTCACCGGACTTGGTGGGTTGGTTTGGTTCGGTTTGAGTTATTTAGCTTTTTTAGAGAGAGAGAGAGAGAGAGAGAGAGAGAGAGAGAGAGAGAGAGAGAGAGAGAGAGAGAGAGAGAGAGAGAGAGAGAGAGAGAGAGAGAGAGAGAGAGAGAGAGAGAGAGAGAGAGAGAGAGAGAGAGAGAGAGAGAGAGAGAGAGAGAGAGAGAGAGAGAGAGAGAGAGAGAGAGAGAGAGAGAGAGAGAGAGAGAGAGAGAGAGAGAGAGAGAGAGAGAGAGAGAGAGAGAGAGAGAGAGAGAGAGAGAGAGAGAGAGAGAGAGAGAGAGAGAGAGAGAGAGAGAGAGAGAGAGAGAGAGAGAGAGAGAGAGAGAGAGAGAGAGAGATAGAGAGAGAGAGAGAGAGAGAGAGAGAGAGAGAGAGGGACTGATGGAGATAACAGATAAGACAAAGGGAGAAATGGAGAGAGAATAAAAAGAAAAAAGAATAAAAAAAAGAGAGAAGACAAGATGCATGCGTGTGTTGGGGGGTTTAAAAAAAAATTCAATTAGGCATGTGTGTTGGCATGCCCAACAACAAAAGCCAGCTTTTTATTAATTTTTTTACTTCTTTAAACTATGTATTATATATATATATCATCGGTTTTGTTTGGTTAAACTTCGGTTTTGAATATTGCAAATCGTACACCGGAGAAGAAGAAAAAAGAGAGGAAGAGATGGAGAAGAAGAAGAAGAAGAAGAAGAAGAAGGGAAAAAGAAGAGGGAGAGAGAAGAAGAAGAAGAAGAAGAAGAAGAAGAAGAAGAAGAGGGAGATGCGGAGAGGGAGTGAAGACAAACGTAAGAAGAAGGAGAAAAAAAATTAGAGAGAGAGAGAGAGAGAGAGAGAGAGGGACTGATGGAGATAAGACAAAGGGAGAAATGGAGAGAGAATAAAAAGAAAAAAGAATAAAAAATTGAAAAAAAACCAAACCGGTTACCATCAGTTTGATTTGGGCGGTTTGACTGGATTACCGGTCTGGATGCCTAGCCCTTACCCCATGATAAAAACATTTTTATAAATACCTTAGCGTTTAGCCAAAAAAAGAAATTACTAAGAAATTTCTTTTCTTTCTTGACAAGAAAAATATCTTTGGAAGGAATAGAGATCACAACCAGAAGGAAGTAGAAGCCCATTTCCCAAAGTAGTAATCTAGAAATATTTAATTGAATGTAGAATGATGACCCAATGAGGGCAACACAGCAAGTGGTTGCTGTCATTTCTTACGTTGTAAAGCTCTCCAGAGTCAATATAGAAATCTTTGCAGTTTTAATTGCTTTTGCAGTTTCTTGGGATTCGGAAGCTCAAAAAGGATAACGTCAAGCAACTGTACCTCCTCAGCATTGACCACAAAAAGATGAAGCTGCATGTTCGATTTTAAACAAACACATCACGACTCTAGTGTTTGATAATTGATATGCAGTTATGCTTTATGCCTTGAAGCATGTGGTCTTTCCAAGTCATAATAATTTGTGTGTATTACGTCGTGTATTCATAATTTCATTTGCATTGAAATAGATTTTTTTCTCTTCAATTTATTGTTTAGTTTTAAAACCTGCCTAACAGTCTTAACAACTCTCTTCTTCAATCTTCTGACATGTGGCAGAGTGAGGACCGTTGATATCTTTACAAGTTTCCCATTTTAATCTAAATTCAAAATTGATATAGAAATTTTCAGCTGCCAAAGATAGAAAAAGTTCAACTTAAGCACAACGCAGGGTCTAGCCCAGTAGAAAAAGACCTTGAATTACAAACTAGTGATTTGAAGTTCGAAACCCCATGACACCTTGACAATATTTGCGTGAAAAAAGCCTCCTCCTCCAATATCGCTTGTATAAAAAATTTAGAGCCATTGTCAAGGTGTCACGAGGGTTTGTTACTTGAGACCACTAGCCAACAAGTCAAGGCTCTTTCAATTGAGTTAGACTTCGTTGGCTAAAAAAAACCTAAATTTTGGTTTGATATACTCACATTTTGAGACTTGTCATGTTTTCTTAAAATTCCATAACGTTTTAAATCGTTCCATATAACCCCTTCCGTCAAAATGTCATCTTAACATTGTTGACATCAACACTAAGGGCCAGTTTGGCATTGCTGTGTTGTGAACATAATCACTGTTGAATTTGCTGTATGAGAAATCAGCTGTGAAATAAAGCAATTTGGCATTTGGTAAATTTCTTGTTTAAAGTGATTTTGGTACAATAATCAGTTTCTGAGTGTTTGGTAAATTTTTATGTAAAAGTGTTGTGAACTGTGTATAATGACTCAGAGGGGCATGAGGTTATTATTTAAGATTGCAATACCTAAACTCTGAATGTAATGACCAGAATTCACAAATAAATATAATAACAACTCAAAATTGTTATGACCTATTGAAATTCACGTATGGATATAATAATAACTCAAAATCTTCCCATCATGCTGCTAGTATTCAATGCCCTTCTTGCCTATTTATCCATGGCCAACACAACAACCAATTGCCAATTAATGTCCAATTCACTTTGACTCCTCATTATCACTTTCCAGATGCGTTATGTGTGCTCATATTGCCTTGTTTTTATTTTTGTCAATTAATATAGCATTTTATTGAAACCCAGAAAGAAAGTAACAAAATACACCAAAGATCCAAAAAAAACAAGGAGATACAATTAATAAGTAAATTTAGAAATTAAAAGAGTATAGATTGATGATGTTTTCAACTATCCTCTTTCAAGAAGGTATGATGAGCCCCCTCTTTCCAGATACGATATGTGGCTCATCCATTAGAACCTAGAAGGTAGGATGAGTCCCCCCTTTTTATTTCTTTTATGTTTTATAAAATCAATTCATAGCATCCCATTGAAACCCAGAAAGAGAGTACAGAAAATACACCAGTGATCCAACAAAACCAATAAATTCATAGCAACTTGCCTTGAGGGTGATGCAGAGTAAAACCTTGTTTGAGAATACAACCTAGAAATGAAGGTAGAAATTTTTTTTTAAAAAAAGAAGATGATGAGAAACAAACGTTATATCTAGGTAGCAGGAATCGTGGAGACAAATTCAAGAAAAAGGTGTGAA